TGGAGTTATAAGTCTATTTCTGGGCCTGATGCTGTGTCCCGGGACGGTCGCGCTTTCATGGCACCGGCAACTGCGGTGGCGCCTTGCAAGTCCAGTTAAGTTTTCTTGAATATAACAAATAAAACATCACAGTACTAGAGAAGCAGTTTGTTTGAGGAAGTACATGAAAGCGGTACCAACTAACTCCAGGGTGGGGCTGACTTCGAGTCAGGGCCCCCAGGACTGCGTGCAATCTGACTCAGATCGGTCCGACCAGCTGCAATCTGAGGATGTAATATAATGCAACCTCATATCGTCTTACCCGCACCATTCACCATGCCGTATGCTCTCATCGGCACACCCTCTACGTGCTTTAGAGTCCTTCAGCTTAAGGATGAGGCCCCAGCGTCTGCTGTAATCATATGTAGCCTTTCTGGCTCCGCTGTAAGAATTGATTGTGCCTCCATAAAGGAAATCGGGTGAGGACCTGGGGCAGAAAAAGGGATACGTCATGCTGTACAACACATCAGGAAACCCTAAGATGTGCAAAGGAACAAGAGCTGTGCCTGATTTAGCCACCTGTTGTCGGACTCAGGTCGACTGGGTGATAATCGGTGACGGTCTCAACACGAATACCACCACAACATAACAAGACTTCAGTTGTCATGGCGTCAATTCTTGTTTCAACAGTTTTGCTGGCCAAACCAGGAAAATCGCCCTTTCTTAAGTTCACACTCCAGCAGTTCCCGAAAATTGCTGATTCCGCGCGTTGCTGCTCCTGGCAGACTAGATCCAATAGGACTTCGACCGTGCGAACCGTCGCCAAAGCGACTGGAACGGAATACACAAACAATAAGCAAAACTTCAGAAGAACATTGCAAACGGACTTTTCAGGACATACACACGCGTATTTGCACGCACATCACCTCACACGGAATGCATTGCACTGGCACTGCACCGCGAAGCACGGAGAGAGGCGCAAGGGCAAACCTGCTTCCTCTTACTAACTCCCATCCAGATCTCATGTCCTGCCCCGCACAAGCAAGAGCACACAGTCACACCAGTAGCACCTGCGGCCTCCACAGAACGGAGTGCACAGCCCTTCTTCGATGATACCTGGACGATTTGTGTCGCAACATGTCATACACTTGACTCTTTACACGACTGCGATTATAACACAGCACTTTCGTTCACGCCAAGTCATATGTTCATTCCGCTCATAAACCAGCAACCCAGTGAGATCCCCATCACCCTAAAGAGGCATAAGCCGGACCCTTAACTGCCTAGCTGGTGTCAGCAGCACGCTAACGCAGCATCCCACCACAAATTTCCAACTCACACAATCACACATTACGAACATGGACACTAATTCAGCGAAATAACCTATCCTGCGCAGTAGCTTAACCCTGCATAACAAACTAGAATCTGCTCCACAAGAGCTACGGCCCCACCGGGGCCCGGCTCGTCCTGCCCCACCTGCCTCTCCCACGAAAACCTGCGATTTCCACACCAGACAACCTCCGAAAGACACATCTATAACGCTCCACGACTACTGCCCACTGTGTGCCTCTTTACGGGTATTAACGAAAATACTGACATACCACAACCGCCGCTTTTCATTATGGGCTAGTTGAGCTTTGGTGAGAGCGCTAACCCTAGCCCGGCTCGTTTATCGACCTTACTACCATATCTTCCTGTCTAGTAAATCTTGGATTGCCAAAAAAAAGTAGAACAAAGGACTTCGCGCACGCCAAAAAACGACACCAACATTACACAACAATTGAAGGAACATGCCTACCCGTTACAGTGCCTAATCAGTCGTTTAAAAAAATGCGCCGTTCGTGGCCTTCCTCAGCAGCTCAATTGCCCAGTTCACGTTGTTGCTGGAGAGCGAGTCATCGCTGCACGAGATAACGAAGCTAGTGAGCATCGTCCACTCTTTGTTGGGGCAGCTCGCCAGCGTCGCTCCAGCAGTCTGTTTGCAGCAACAAGGAAAATCGGCCTTACATAGGGGACTGGAAAACGGATGGAGCAGCGCAACCAGAACACCGGGAAAAGACGATCAGAGCGAAGTTCCATGCTGGAAAACCCTAGCTTACCACACCCGTGCTAAAAAGCACAATACGCACCGGGAGCACGCTGCAGAGATCGCCTAGCAAGGCGGTGGCAGCCCGCGCCACGTCTTCATCGTAGGCATCTCCCGCTGTTTTATCTGCTCCAATACTGGCAACGAACTGGTACACAGCGGGCAGCTCTGCCGTGAGACGGTCTCGACTTGCCGACCCACTGCCAGTGCCCTTTGTAATATCGTCCCCGAGGCCCTGGACAATTCCAGAAAAGGCGTCGATGATGCCTCGACGGAGCAAGTTGTTGTAGTCATACGTGTCATAATCTGGCATGCACAAGGAGGGATAAACTTCGTTTTTTGTGCGAAACATGAAACACATTGGCATGACTATACAAATTGAACAGATATCCACGTGATGCTGTATGATGCCCCCACTCAACTTGCTGTTTGTAAAGTGAAGGAGCCCCAATCCCAGCTACCGCAACTTACCCTGGCTGCTAACCATCTGGATGCTCATAGCCATGGCTTGACGCAGAATCGTAACAACTGCGTCCAAGTACTTAGCGAAATTCCCCTCAATAGCCAATGCCATGTCACCCAGCACCGTGAGCAGCTCCGGCTTGATGTTCCGGTGCACATTGGGTGACCCCAAGTTGGAGAGGATGATCGACACCAGTTCGTCGCAGTATGGCCAAAGCGCCACGCCGACAGCGCGGCAAACATCCCCAAGGACGCCAACGGTGGACAAGCAAACTTGCCATTGCATGTGATCCTGGAGACCCGCGCGAACGAAGGGCATGAAGTTCTGCAAATACTTCTCAAAATCACTGCCCACCGCCACTGTAAAAGTGCCAACCGCTAGCATGGCCTCCTCATGAACACCGGCGCCCGACTGAGTACGTGCCATAACCTGGAGGAGCGTCTCCATAATCTATTAAGCGCAGGGATGCAAACGTAGAAAGGGACAGGGTAGTGAACAGCCTCAGTGGACGAAGGTCAAGCAAGAGAATTGCGAACATAACGGCCATAGGTAAGAGGTTACTGCTGAACGCCCATTTGTTGGAAGTACGCTACGGACATAATTTATATTATAATCACGTTACCTTGTCACGAAGGGGCACTAGGGCAGCCCGTGCGTCGTCGCTGCGGCAAAGCCGTTCCATGCAGACCTGCAGCATGCCGCAGAGCTGACCCTGCAGAGTTGCCATCTTTTCCGCAGCCTGATGCGACGTAATCTGCGTCTCCAGATTTGTGTTGATGGCGCCGAGGACCACCTGGGCCATGCCAAACACGAACCATAAGAGTTAAGTTGGTATTCAATTTTAAAAATTTGCACAAACCTGGGGTAACATAAGCAGATACCGGGACCATGCTGCGAATGAAACGGTGCAAGACGAAACAGGTGCCAAGTCTGTTTGAACAAATTCAATCCTAGTGCGACAAGCACTCCCTACCTGAAGTAGGGTACCGACAAACTCCAAAGTGTCTCGTGCTGACGAACGGACGAGGTCGTTAATAGCCTCGTAGGCGGCAACTTGTGCTTTTCCACTATTCTCGCATGGGGCGCTGCGGAAGCGCTCGGCAGTCTCATACAAGTTCTGGACCAGGTCCTTCAGGTACGGCGACAGCGGTGTTGTTTCACCTACACGAAGATTCAGCATGTCACAGATCTTTTTTTCGTCATTTCATGCAGACATATTGCCAAGATCGTGCCAAAACCTAAAGCGTACACGGTTCATTGCTTGAAACCTCATTCGGGCACCTTCCTAGCATAAGCATAACTTACCCTCAGAGGATTGAAAGCCTAAAGCCAGGAAGCGTAAAGCGTCACAAACATAGTAGACAACCCGCGGCTCGTCTTTAAGCGATGCCACCAGCGCGGACAGCAAGGGAGGAATGCTCTCCTTGGCGACGATGGGCGGCTGACCCTCCGCCTCGTTCCCGTGCAGGTGTTCAAATACTTGGCCTAGCGCCCAAGCTGTCGTCTCCTACGCATCCGGGGAACATGAGTTTTTGGTAAGGACGGTAATGCTAAACCAAAGGATGCGCCAAGAACAATGAGCTATCGAGTTGTTGCACACATCAATCTGGAAAGCTAGACAGGACCCCCTCGACGAAGCAAGCGATTCCCATGTGTTTTCCAGTACATCCCCCTTGCAAGCTGAATCAAATGTTTCGCGTCAAGAAGCTGCAATTCCAAAGGTTTAAACAACACAATCCTTGCATACCCGCACAACGCGGTGCTGGTCCTTAAGCGCATTCATCAGGAAGGGAAGGCCTGCCCGCACGAACTGGTCCAAAGCCGCTGGAGCCGGGCCCTCCATTATGGAACCAAACGCAAATGTAGCCGCCTCACGGTAGTGCCAGTCAGGGGACGAAATATTACCCGTAACGAAAGGAAGCACCTGCACAATCATGGGAGGGCATAGGAAGTTCGATACAATGCCCTCCATACAGTCTGCTGAGGCAACCATTAAGATCGACCAACGCCCAGAGCTGTGACTGGTTCTCAAACAATCTTCCAACCTGTGGCAGCGGTTAGCAACAGCTTCTAGGATGGGTAGATACGTTTGTTGGTGCTTACCTGGGGAACCAATCGGTCCTTGCAAATGCGCGCCAGCAGCTTCAAAAAGAAGCCAGCGGCCATTGCGCGGTTCCAAGTCCCCTCATCCTCCAGTGAGTCTTCATCCTGCTTCGCCAAGCAATCGAGCATGAGGGGCAGCAGGTACTCGGCAGCGCTGGCGATGAAGTTCTTGCATTGATCTTCCTTCCCGTCCTCCACTAACTCTAACTCATACTCTGCAACAGTGCTCCAAAACTCGATGGCCTGGGTAGCCACCTCGTCCTCGTCGTCCTTAATAGCTTTGGTGGAGAGCTGGTACAGCTCAGTCATGTACGACTGAAGCTTCGGGTAGTAGTTATCAGCAATCTGCTGCAGGCACTGAAAAGCTGCCACCCGCATCGGCTGATTACTTGCCAGTGTGCACTGGCACACGACCGTCATGAGGTAGGTGCGCTCCGTCTCAACCTCGAAGTTACCCCTTGCAAGGTGAATAGCGTTTGTGAGCGCCTTGATAGCAGCAAGGCGCACATCGTCCTGCTCTGACTGCCCCATTCCAGCAACAACTGCTGTCAAAATCATGTTCACATTCTCGGGCGACAGCAGAGACTCGTCGACCTCCTCGCAGATGTAGCCGAACGTCGTAAGGGTCGCCTGGCGAGTGCCAACGGAAGCGGGAGGCTGGGCTGCCATGTTGTTTAGCAGTGTTGGAATAAGCGCAGGCCACGCTTTGGATTGCATATCGATGTTCGCGATTTTCGCGATGACAAGCGCTGTGGTCTTCCTTACGTCACCTTTCGGAGAGTGCAGGCACCGAAGCAACACGTCACGGATGTGTTGTTTCAGAGCAGCATCAGTTCCCTGCCATTTTGCCATCAAATCCTGACGGCGCACCGCGTCCTTCGCGTCAACCGAGTTTTTGAGTTGCAGCGCTGCCGCCTGACGGATGTCGTCCGCGCGGTCCTCATTTCCTAGCTCATTTGTTATGCTGGCAAGGTAACCCGGAAAGTTCGTCTCCTTCAGCTGGTCCAGGTGCTGCTCCGCCTGTTGACGGATACTCGCATCATGGCTAAAGGTGGACGCCAGCGCCGCAGAAAGGTCAATCACGACCGCCATGCTGGGTTTGTAGATTTTCTGTGCAGAGAAGCCAGATGGTGTGCCCAAAAGGCACTTGCCCGCGTGACTGGCTAGCAGATCTCCCGCCTCTACAGAGCAAGGCAACTCCCAAGACGATTAACTTAAAGTTACGCGTCTATTGGGAAGCCTTGCAGCTTAAAAACAAAGCTCCGTAAAGCACTTGATGTGCTTGGCGCCGACAGGGATCTTCTAGAGCAAAGAACAAAAGACGGAAATACTGTGCGTATGCTAGCTACGGTGCATTTGCCCCGTGCCAGTGCTTGTGGAATGGGCGGAGGGAGGGAAAGCACCAAATTTACAAATGCAAAACACTCGTACTGGTAGCCGTACACAAGTGGCTGTGAGTTGTCCCTCAGTTTTCCAGACAGGATAGAAGAGTCATGTCTTTGCGACAATCTCTGAGATTCAGTGGGCCTGATGACCAAGGGAAGTCTCTGTTTGAAGACCGGCAACACCGTAATCCATGGTACTGGACTTGATTCGAAGGCCAACTGAAGCGCGCTCGCGCTGCCGACGTATGAGGGTCGATAAAACATATTGGAACCTAGGTCTTTACCTCATTTTATTGTCGGCGCGCAAGGAGTGAATGATAAGCAACAACAGGCGTCGACAGCTTTGGCGGGTGTCGCACAGCAGCAGCAACAGCAGCAGTAATTGCGGCCAAGGCACGAGCGAGGGTCATGCGCGCTATTATCTCACTGTGTGTTGGCAACTGGTTCCCTTCCCCCTATCGCTCCCAACCGTCTGCACGGGGCGATTAATGGCGCTCCCCGCTTCCCCGCTCCCTGCTTTGCTCGAGGATTACCGACTGCTACAACATTATATACTCCTTAGCCAGGAGTTCGTTCCTTTGTTCGTTTCAGTGACCCCCCGGCAGACGGCGATGCGCAAGTGAAACCTAACCACTTAACGCCAACCCTAAGTGCCTGCAAGTGCAATCTTCAGGTTGCGTCCCAGCACTTTCCGCTTGGGCCCAGTACAACGACATGCAACTAAATCATGTGCATCTATATGGGCGGCTGTCTGCTGCTGTAATTATTTCCGGCTCCACACCTTGCGCTACTGCGCATGGACCACAACGTTACGCTCGAATCCGCGGCTTACGTGCATTTGCGAGCGGTGGTTGCCATGCAGTATCCGTCCATACAAGGCTTGGACCCCTTTTACGTAACCGCCTGCTACTGTGTCCTTCGTCTAAGCGCGCAGCATAGCCCCGCAGAACACGCCTAGATCCCAGGGATAGGGTGAACACCCGCCCACCAACCTTGTAAAAACCGTGTAACAACGGTAGTTGTTATAGGTAGGAGACCCTCAAATATATAACCGAGACGGTGTTGATGCACAGCATCTCGAGCGGCCTTTTTAACGCCGCTGCTACACACCGGCATCCCGTAATCTGTGCACAATACTAGCTAAGCCACTCCCCTTCATATGCGATGTGCCCACCGGGAAACATGCAGTACCCACGCATGGCTCCTGAGCTGTCTGCAGATCGACGCACGGACCGCAAGCTACAATTAACTAAGGGGTTTACCGGCTCGGCTCGGTGCGAGAGCGGCGTAGTCAGCCCACCAACACATCGTACACGACGCATATAAATTCATTGACTTTTACATACCGCCGCCAGGTATGTAGCTCATAGCCGCGCGGGCCTTCAGAGTCCAGATTCGTAGAAATTCAGTCGTTCTTTTGCCATTCTCTCCATTTCGGGGGTCACGAGACGAAGGGAACATTATCTCAGGCCCGCGTGCTTTTAAACGCTTCTTAAATCTAATAAGGTGACGACACCTATCAAAGCGTTGGATATGAAATCCAACCCCGACATTGAACGAACCGATAAGTTAAGTTCAAAGGGAACGGTGCGCATGCGTATGCACGTGCACACGTCGCACTCCGCGCTATCGGAGTCCGCAAGCGTTCCGACGTGCAATCCACGCACGCGCTGAAACCCGCATCCACAGCTCCCTATCCATACCCTTCAGACAAATAGGGTGTCAGTTTCCACGGAGCTAAGAGAAGAGCCATCCACACATCCGGCTACACCAAAATCGTGACTTTGAAAGGTTTAGCGTTCTCGTTTAGTTATTCCATGTAGCATGCTACTACACATTCCAGGTATAGTCATGCTACATACGCGTATGAATGTCTTGCCAGAGGAGTACCCATCAGATGGGAAGCAACCGGGAGTGCAAATGGCGAAGTAAAAGCACTGGATGGGGCTGCCCTTTTCGGGAGCCGCAGCCGTCATGTGGCCAACACATGCTAAGGTCTTCATTCCTCGTTTAGCACATCGTAAGCTAATGCAGTTTCGTTTATGTTGCTGGGCTTTGGAGGCAAACAGAGCACGAAGAGGCAAGTACCATGTCCCCAGGAGCAGCGGTTTTGCCGCTGTTGTAGTACTAATAGCCGAATCGAGGATGAAAAACACGTGTTATTGGAATCCCCAGCCTATAATGATATTCGTGCTGAAGAGGGATTCGATCATCAACAGAGCATGTTGGAGGCCATTAAATGGGAACCAGTGCGTCTGGCGAGGATGTTGGAACGTATGTGGGCTCACCGAAACTCAGTTATCCCGTTTGGACGCTAGCCTGGGCTGATGTGCGGTGTTTCCTGTTCTCCGTGGCTTTTAGGCGTATAGACATTGCCCTTGGGCCTTCGGCTCGTATGGGTAGTTTTACAGGTATGGGGTCACGCACCCCCAACCATGTAACACATACACACACATGGAATCAAGCGCTATCAAGGAAGTAAGATCAGAATTGAGTCCAAAGGACCTGTGGCAAAAACTTTCATTGTACAACGTCTTTGACAGCGCCGCAGCGTTCCGGTCACGGTTGCGACCTATTTGACACTTCGGCCCCTCTGTGTGCCGAGGGTACACGCGGCAGCCGTTTCCCGGAGAAAACAGAGACGCAGGTGGGCGCGCCAGCGCCATTGAACCGCTTTGCGCAAAGTAAACTCGAGCCGCAGCTATCAGCAGGAAACCGCCTTCCTTCCAGGGCGGCCGGCAATGACGGGCCCGAGTGCATTGACGGTGACAACGAAACGAGGAAAGGGAACAGCCATAAGATTCCAGCAACTGGTCCCCGTACGCCAGGATCAATAGCATAGGCATCATCGGGCTCACAGTTAGCACTGTACTGGCACTGCGAAGCGCAAAAAGCAACGCAATAAACTGGCAGCGCACAGGAAAATGCCCGACTTGCAAGCCGCATGTTTCCATTTCACATTTCATTACTAACACAAGATATCCTCTGGCCCATATGTCCTGCGGGCCCTCCCCCCGGGTTGCACGAAGCAGTTATTTTGCACATATCCCTGGCGTTACAGGGGCCCCCCAGGGGTTGGAGGCCTGCCGGTCTGGCAACAAGCCAGTCCGGTACCCACTCCACGTTCGGTCATATCTGGCCTGTCGTGCGCATGCATGGACACACGCACACACGCACACACACATGCACCGCCCTCCCTATATCACACACACACACATACCCCACTCGGGCGCCCAATCAGAGCCTTGCTTGCAGTCCCAACAGCCGCAATCCGCAACTCCCCCCACCGGCTCGCGTCGCAGACGCCAAGCACAAGCAAGCTACCAACGAGCCCCCCAACACACAACCTCCTCCCCTCAAACCCCAATCCTGCCCAGTCCATCCGGCGCCTGCCCTGAACCTTCTCAGGGCGCCTTGGACAGCCATTCAGCCCCGTGCCCCAGTAATTCGCAACAGCTATCGCGTCCCCTCTCCATCGCCGCCTTCGGTTTGGCCCCTTTCCGGACCCAGATAAGCCTTGAGCCTCTCCACCGCCGCCTGCAGCTTGGCGTCTTCCTTGCAGTAGCAGAACCTCACCAAGTGGGTTGGCTTGCTTGAACCCACGTAGAAGCCCGAGATGGGGATGATGGTGACGCCACCTTCCACCGTTAGCCGCTTGGCAAAGGCCACATCGTCCTCTCCGGGCCGCAGGAACTTGCTGTGCAGGCGGGAACAGGCGGGGGCGAGGGAAAGAGGAAAGCGTGAAACACATGGGCGAATCCACGCACCCACGCACCCGCAAACAGAAACCATTACCCCAGCAGGAATGGGCCTAGGGTGGTGGTCCGTCGTTGCGCTGTCACCGCTGACAAACTGACGCCCCATGACGCCCCGTCCAGGTTTTCGTGTCGTGTCCTGTGGGGTCCGGGTATATACACATATCGATATCCCCCACCTTACGTCCGCCACGAGGAAGTACGCCCCATGTGCGGGCAGCACTCCAAACCCCAATGCCGCCAGCTGCTCCTCCAGGTATCGCCGCTTCACCCCCAGGCTGGGACCCAGGGATCTTGGGGTCGGGTTGGGCGGTGTTGGGATGATTGGATTGGGTGGGGGGAAAGGGGGTTGTGGATTTCCCAATTGACCTAGCCAACCAGGTCAGAAGTTAGAAGCAAGGGCGCGATGGATGCCTCTGGGGCCCGGCCTCCTCCGTCCGCCGCATCTCAGCTAGCTGCAGCAAGGCAGCTTGGCAACAGCAGCAGCAGCAGCAGCAACGACGACGGCAACAACAACAACATCAGCAACACAGCATCGTAGTTCCCCCACCGCCCGACCACTCACAAGTAAAACTCCGACTCGTTTTCGAGCCCGTGTGCCACAGCTCGCTGCAAGCTCGAGGGCACGGTGAACACAAGAAACTGGTGGGCTTTTATGATGGGACTCATCAGCCTAGCGGGACCAGTCATCCAGCCAACCTGTGACAGCAAAAAAACGAATCCGGAGAGCCCCAGAGGGGAAAAATAGAGCTAAGTACTTCGAGTAGAACACACTCCTCTAGGGCGACGCATCGCCGAATGCCGTCTAGGTTTGTTGTACTAGCGGATAGATAGACGCAGATAGTATTCCAGGCCAGGGCAATACTGATTTCACGGTGGCAATGGCGCGGGGGACGGAGGAGGGGCGACAGGGGAGCGCCTAGGAAGGCAGCAACGCGGCAGCGACGGGGGACCTGCCGCAGGACAACACGAGCAGCGTGTGACGAGTTACTGACGCCATTCGCGAATGCTGTTGGCATGTGATGAGGGCACCAGCACTGGGGAGCGGCGACAGAGAGGGCGCACTCCAGGCCCCGGAAAGGAAGTTAAGGGGGAGCAGCCAAAAGGCACCAGGCACCCGGAGCTTCAGCGTATTCGCTGCGCAATGGCTTGAAGGAAGGGCATCCCGCCTCCTGGGACCGCACCGCTGCTCACACCGCTCGCCGCCCGTCTACCACACCCGTCCCCTCGGTTTGCCCTCTCTTTGCTACTGCTGACTGACTGACTGACTGACGGACGGACTGATGGACTAAGAGTGTCGTCAGCTGACGGACCTTCCAGGCGGTGAAGGAGAAGGTCTTCCCCGCGCTGCCCAGCCGCACACAGCGCTCCGCCATGCCCGGCAGCGCACGCAAGGAGATGTGTTTCGCGCCGCCAAACACCAGGTGCTCGTACACCTGCCCCAGGTCACAGGAGGAAAAGCAGGGATGTAGCAAGACGGGGAGTACTGGCCAAGTGCCGATGTCCAAAGCACCCTCTGCCGTTGAGCGCATGCGCGGGGATTCCGTCACGGGCCGGTGGGGGTACGCGAGGGTAAGACGAACCTCTCCGTCTGCACACCGTCCTGCCCCGCACGATGGCTCTAAGCTGCGCAAGGGTTTGCATCGCACGGTGTGCGTCTCCCCCCTCCCCTCTCCCTTCCCCTCCCCTTCCCCCTCCCCTTCCCCCTCCCCTTCCCCTTCCCTCCCCCCTCCCCTCTCCCTTCCCCTTCCCCTCCCCTCCCCCCTCCCCTTCCCGTACGTACCTCGTCACACAGCGCAATGACGTCATGCCGGATGCACAGCTCCGCTATGGCCTCCAGCTCGGACCGAGTAAACACCTGGATGCGGGGAGGGCCCGGCCAGGGGTGGTCCCAGCTCGTTGGGGGGGTCCGGGGTCCTCACGTCCTCGGAAGGAATCTAACGCCCACTCTGAGTCGCTGATGGGGAGGCTGGCGAGGTCGCACCGATTGCTGGAGGGGGGCAGCCCTTAGGAGACCTAGATAGGTTCGGAGCCACCAGGCAGACAGGCAGACTGACTGACAGACAGGCAGATGGATAGACAGACCGATACCTTCGCACCCACACACCTTGCCGCTGGGGTTATGTGGGCTGTTGAGCATGATCATCTTGGTACGCGGACCCACCACAGCCGCCAGCTCGTCCAATGGTACGGAAAAGTCAGGCAGCTGTAGGCGCACGGGCACAATGGTGGCGCCGCTGCGGCGGGCCATGGACACGTAGCTGTCGTACATGGGATCAAACATGATCACCTGCGCCGGGGTGGGGTGGGGTTGGGGGTTAGCAGCACCAGCGGCAGCAATCACGGCAGTCGGGGGGAATGGCGGAGCCGCGCGGCGGAGAAGGACGCGCAACCAGGGATGTGGATGAGCATGACGCTCTTCTCCCCGGCAAACGGCGCGATACTCGTTTCTGTGTCGCAGTATTTTGTGTCGCAAAAGCACTCCGGCTAGACTCCTAGGGAAAGTGTCGACCAGATGACCGGACGCCGCCCCGACCGGACCCAGTCCTTACACACTTCACCACCGCCCTAGTAACGTACAATAATACCAACATATTCACACATATTGGTGGTGAGGCGGTTCGTGGTTACCCCCCATGCCCCCACAGGCGTTGGCTCCCGGCCGGGTCCGGGGTGTCACCAGTGCCTTCTCAACCTCGCTGTCGATACACCCACGCAACGATCCGATGAACACTGCCTCCGCCAACACATCTTACCCTAGGTCTCCATCTCGCCCTAATAGCCCTACCTGGCCTCCCTGCGGCCCCATCCCAGTCCCCTACCCGACCTTCCAGCCACTCACCTCGTCGCCAGGGTTCAGCAGCCCCAGAAAGCAGGCCGCCAGACCTTCCGTAGCCCCCACGGTCACCAGCGTCTCCGTAGCCCAGTCCACTGGAATGCCCTGAACAGCATTGGGGGGGGGGAGGTGGGGAGGAGGCGGGTGAAGCAGGACGACACTGGTTCACTCGTCATCCTCGGCACCTAAGTCCTGCCGCCCCGCAACCCATTCCGTCCCACCCGTCATTTCCTCCCCCTCTCGCACCTGGTTGGTTTCGCTGTGCCGGGCTACGGCTTGTCGAAGCTCAGGAACCCCCAACAGAGAGGGGTATTGATTGTGGAAGTCGTACATTGCCTTGGAGGCTATTTCTTTCATGGTTTCGGGGCCCTCTGCGTCGGGGAAGCCCTGGCCCAGGTTGACCGAGCCGTGCTCCATGGCTGCGGAAGGGGACAGAATAGCAAACCGGGGAAGGAAGAGAGAGAAGCGGACCTACTAGGTTTTGCCCGAGCAAGGATGGCGAGGGAAATAAGAGACAGCGAAGGAATGGAACAGAAAGTAAGGGAACTGGGAGGAGCGCCCTGGGGTTGTTTGGGGGCAGGGGGCTGGATGTATTCCGGTGTGCATCGTGGGGAGCAAGCGGCGCGGTTGCGAAGGTTTTAGGATCGCGCGTTGCCTTCCCCGCATCTGAATTTCTGTGCTGAAACGTGGAAGAGCGGCAAGAAAGAAGGAATGTATGCGAAGGAAGGAATGTATCATCTTGTAAAACGAAAAGGGGTCCCTGCTCGATGGGCTAACAAACGGACCCGCAGGAGAAGGGGAAAAGGAATCGGTGGCCATGACACGTGACAAAACCGCCCCCCAGCAGTAATTAATTTCATGCATGTAATCGTGTGTCTTCGCCCGAGCGATGAATTTGTCCTAGACATCTTCAGCGCACCCATGCGGCGGCCCGGTCGACAAAATAGACCCACCAAGCTTGCTCATGACCTCAAATATCGTGGTCGGCAAAGAACTAAACAATTCATTGAGCGGTTTAGTGAAGGCACCAGCCTTGGCAGACCCGTTCTCCATAGGTGCGGCTTCAGGAGGCATTCTACTAGTTATCAACGGCTCAAGAGAGAGGTTAAAAATTTAGTAGAGCCTATGCAATGGCACAAAGATCTTACTAAGTCGTGTTCAACGGCAATGTGTGATGGCTCAACGGATAACGCCGACCGTATCACGGACAGGCCTGGAGGCCTGGACGCGCTCAGGTAATGGCAACATTAAACAATTTTATGTTGAGCGAAACGGATCGTCATCTTTTTGAAAGCACACAGATTCAGTTTTGTGGGAACGACAACCTGGAGTCGTTGCGACCGTTCCTGGTTGTGCCGTACTATCATCTGTCGCGCAGGTCCACGATGCACGATTTCATGTGCGTCCATGGTAGGCTATTGCTTGTCCAAATCTCTGCGACGACACCCTGACAATAGCGATCTGATACGGTGTGCTGCTCACCCTCATCGGAGGCCTATGCACGGGCCCTGCAAGGCAGCCGTTGCGAAGTCCTCTTGCCCCCTCGTTGTGGACTTGCCAACGAAATCGCCCACGCTAGGCTCAATAAAGACGCTAACCTCATAGCTAGCTTGTGGTCTCATTGCACTTCATTTTTGCTTATGCCAGCTCAAGCCGACGCAAGCTGTGCCTGACGTCCAGCTCAGCCCAGCAAGGTCTGTACGGTCTGTAGTCCGCGAACCTGTTGTCCGGTAGTTCTCGTACGTCGTAGTCTGAAGTCAATGAGTTCTCGTCCCGTCCCGTAGAGGTAGCTGAGGAAGACACGCGCGATGTGACCACGTGGCCACACACCTGGTGTGGCCGATGCGGAGGAGTGTTCTCTTCAAGGTGTGTGGTCAGTCGAAACTAATCTCCCAACCCCTGACACGAATCAACATGGGTGGAAAGGAAGAGACAAGAGGCATGGAAGCGCTGCCGTCGCCCTGGATTCGCATGTTTGTAGCAAGCGGTTTCCAAAGGATCAGCCGGCAGCAGTATGGCTAGCGTTGTAGCGCGCGCTTGGCTGCTTGAGGGTGTGACCAAGGAGTAATGACGAATCAGTCATTTGGAATTGTCCTCCTTTACATCCCAAGTTTTCTAGGTCCTTGCGATTCCCGTTGCGCGGGCCTCCACTGGTTCCTCTCCTGCGCAGCCGTCGGCAAGTGACTTGTTCCTGTAATAGCTTTCAGTACTCCTGTAACCGGACACTGTTATACGCAAGCCTTAATAAAGTTATCTGCTTTATTTTGCAATAAGGATTTTGATTGGCATCCAAAAAAACGGCCCAAATCGGTTGAAAGATGACAGGCACAGTCCTGTAAACTACAGTAGGGGAACCCGAATGCTAACGCCGTGTAGGATAAATGCCTTGTAAAAATATTAGGTTCAATCCATCGAGTTGAGTATGGGTGCCTAACGCGGCCGGATTCTTTACATCTCCTGCCGTGTGGTAGGATATCCAAGAGCCGCACCAGCCCGTCGAGATTTCGTCCGCAATCTTCAATGCACATTGCCATCACAATCTAAGTTCACACAACATAGTGATCAGAGGACTTTCAAAACTACCAAAGTCTCATCTCTAGGAAGAATCAGGAGAAGTACCTATACGGCAGATATTTTCCGTGCAGCAGATATTTTTTGATTTTTGGCACAAGATATGCATGGCCGCCATTCCTGGCGGTCAATTACTAAATAAACAATTTGCAATAGTTTCCTCCTTGAGTAAATTGACGCCGTCGACGGTTTCATTTGCTTATCTCCTCTGGAACGTCACTGCGTACTCAAGAGCCTTTCCATAGGGACCCTGGTAACCATCTTTCCTAGTCCTGGTGTGCGCGAGGCGCACCACGATGCCTGGCGCGACAAGCACTGACGGGGACTGCGATGTGAATAGCATTCCAGCCCGGCTGTCCTCGCCTCATCCCAAATGGAACGCAAGCGAATTCCAGTGTTCAATATGTTACGATCTTCTACTTAACCCCGTAGTTGGTAAGTGGGATTTGGCAGGTCTTATGATGAAGCGAAGTTGGCAGAGATGAAGTTATCCGGGGCCGAAATCATGTGCGTTCTAGTTAAACATAGTTAGCATGGGGTCAGAAATTATAGCAACCTGCCTCATTGCGCTCATGGGCTGCACTGTGCCAACAAGGTCTACAGAGGGAACGTTGGGCGTCCGCAAAGAAGTTTTGCCTCGGATCCTTTTCACGCTCCACCTTGGCTGTTTATGTTTCAGGGAGCTGCGGGCATGACTTTTGCAAGCATTGTATCGAAGAATGGAAAGTGTCGCGGCAGTTGGTAGGGCAGCCTGTTCTGTGCCCCATTTGCCGCGCAGTCCTGCTTCCATCTGCCGACCAGTCATTCGGTGAGTTGGAAGAAAAGTCTTTGGTGCGCCTTAGCCGTAAGGGAGTTTTCCATGTTTTGCCGTCGTGCTGCTTCCACCGAGGGGATGGTATCGCAGCTGTGGGGACTGCGCGCAGTTTAACACGTGCATCAGCTCTCCTCATTTATTCACACATATGCCATATGCTTATGTTTTCACGCGTATTCCATCTAGGCGTCTGCATCAGGCTTCGGGAGACCATAGAGAAATTGTTCCCGGAGCAGATCGCGGCGCGTCGCCGAGCGGCGGGCCTTACGACCCACACTCACAAATGCTCAGGTGGGTCGGTTGCTTCACTGTACGGCAGTGGAGACGTTGGGTTTATGGCGTGTGTCGTACACCGCACACGAGTCATCCTCGCCTCTCTTACCCTCCGGATCACCCTCTCCACACCGCGCATCTCCTCCGGGCATCGGCACTCTATCTACTCTCTACGCTGCAATGTAATATGTATTAATGATTGGGGTGTTTCTGCTTGACATGGGTAGGCATGGACAGGCAAGTGCAGCAACGCACTAGGCAGCACTACGCACTGGACGGCGTTGGGCAACAAAACTTGGCACTGCATATTATCCCCCGCCCCCGCCATCCTGGCAGCAGCTTCACTCGTTTGTGGTTCGTCTTTCCCCCGCCATCCGATCCCTTTCCCACACAACCCTACCCCCTTCCTACCACGACTATCCTCTCCCACTCCCCCTTCTCCCCCGTTCCCTCTTCCCCTTTAACCTCGCAGGCGACTGCAGCCCCGCAGCCTTCCCCTTCTCTCCCTCCTCTCCCAGCTCCTCCACCTACACCTCGGGCACATCTACTGACACCGCCTCGACCAACACCGCTACCGCTGCCACCAACACCAGCGACACGGCCACCGCCACCACAGCCACAACCCATTCAGGCTCCCCACCGGTTGTGACGGGAGGTCCCGCTGGGGGAGGGGGCGCACCTGGTCCACCCAGTGCCTCCTTGCCGTACCCCCTCCTGGATTTGGATCTCCTCAGCCGCGCGGCGGAGCAATACCGAGAGCTGTCTCTCCTGATCTCAGCGATTACCTCCGTACCAGCTCCACCGGCGGCGGTGGTGCAGGCCTTCACACACGCGGCTGCGTCAATGGCCGACCACGTCAACACGCGACGCGGGCAGAACGGCGCACCGGCCGCGGCGGCGGCGGCGATGCCGCTGCATCCGCAGCAGGCGGCGGAGCTGGCCCGGCTTTTCCTGTCATCAGGCCCGGCGCTGACGTCAACAGCAGCCGCTACCGCTGCGGCCGCAGCGGCGGTGATGCAGCAACAACAACAACAACATCAGCAGCAGCAACAACAACATCCGTTTCAGCACCAGCATCCGCATATGCTATTGCAGCAGTCGCAAATTGCACCATACCCGTCTTTGCAGCATCAGCTGCAGCGACATGACACCGCGTTTGCGTTCGAGTCCGCGGCGGCGGCGGCGGCGGCGGTGGCAACGATGTCAGGGCCAGACGCTGCTGCGTCGGCAGCAATGGCCGCCCAGCTGGCGGCATCTGCCGCAGCGGCTGGCGGCGGCGGCGGCGTTGGCGGCATCACGGCTGTGCAAGCGTCGGCAGTGACGCGCAACGGCAGCTTTCTTGAGGCGGCCCTGACCCTGCTGACATCAGCGGCGGCGACGTCTACGGCCGCCGGGCAGTTGCGGACACTGGTTTCGGCGCTGCATCACCAGCAGCGGCAAGCCGCAGCGGCGGCTGGGGCCGGCGCCGCGGGGCCGGACGGCATCACCACAGCGCAGGGCACCGCAGCCGTCATGGCGGCGTCCGGCGCCGCCGATGATGCGTTGCGCACTACCGCCGATACCGTTCAACAGCTGACGGCGGAGGCTGCCGCTATGAGCCACCTACTGCGGATGCACCACCAGCAGCAACTGCAAGCCCACATGCAGGCGGCATGGCAGGCGCAGGCGGCGGCGCAAGCGCAAGCCCAGACGCAGCAATTGCTGCAGCTTCAGGCCGCGCAGCAGCAGGCGGCGCAGCAGCAGTACCTGGGTCATTACACCATTTCGGGGGGCCCGCCGCAACCGCCGCCGCCGCCGCCGCAACAGCCGCAGGTGCTGATTAGTTGGGGGAACGGCCCGACGGCGGCGGCATCAGCGCCCGTCCTGATTGTGGGCGGGGCGCCGGCGGCTACACAGGATCCCGCCACCACGTACCCCATAGCGGCCGCCGCCGGTGGCCAGCAACCCCACGCCACGACGGCGCCGTTACAACCACTCCCGTACATTTCGGTTCCCGGGTCGTCAACCGCGACCGTTGCCGTCGGCACTGTCGTTGGCCATACCCCCACTGCGGAGTTGTACGGCTGGGTGCAGGCCACTGGCTCGGCGCCTTATCAGGACGGGGTTGCAGGATCGGTTTGGCCGGAGCAGGCGAATGCAGCCGCCGCCGGCGCCGCCGCCGCCGCCGTGACGGGCCAGGGCCAAGTGTGCTACCCGCTGACGGCAGCCGCTCCTTTACGATTCCTAGGTGCGCAGCCGTACGCTGCTGCCGCCGGCAGCGCCTCGGCCGGCGGTGTGCAGCCGATGCAAGTATCCCTGGCGGAGGTGTTGCCGGACTCGGCCGCCACTGCGGCGGCGCCAATGTCACCTCAGGGCCTTCAGCAGCAGCGGCTGCGGCTACTGCCGCGGCAACAGCAGCAGGCCCAGGTCTTGGCCCGCGGCGCATCGGCTGCGGCGTTGCCCGCCGTTGGATTGGCCCCCGCGGGTTTCGGAGCGACGGCGGTCCCTCTCGTCCCGCTCGGGGGCGGAGTAAGCTCCCCGCCTGGTTTGTAACCTGAGGGAGGGTACAAAAGACGAACCACAAGTGCGTGAAGCTGATGATGCCAAGGAGGGGGACCGGCGCGGGGGGACGTGGCCCCAGCGACGATGTGCAAGACATGGCAGGGGGTCGTGTCGGTGGTTGCAGTGGAGGTGGCTGTGGCACGGTCGCAACACCCGCGAGGTAGGGGGTCTCCGCGGCGGGGTCTACCTGCCCCCGCCCTGGGGTGTGCCGGTGCTGATGTGGATACTAGAGCTCTAGCGGTGGCGGCGGTGGCGGCCGTGCTGTTCTGTGGGTTGTAGGTCATCTGGGTTTGCGTGTAGTCCTGGCACCGGGACTGGAATTGCTGGGACTGCCATGTGGCGCAGGCAGGTAGGCAGGTAGGTCTCGTAAGAGGTGTCGCGACGAGGGGCGAGAGGAAGGGAGCGGGGCCGCCAGCGGTATTGTGTCCAGCAGCTCAGAGAGGGAGGGGCGGAGGGCTACTAGAGGAGTGCGGTTGTAGGGAGGAGGATAGGTGGTGCTTTGGTTTGAGCGGAAACCCGCGTACACACACACACAGACACTCGCTTACTCACATTTGGCGCTCCCGGGGGCGTCATTCCACGGGGGGGGTAGGCGGAGCGGCTGCGTTCCTTCGTCAAGCGGCCGACGGGGGGGGCCTGACCGGGCTGCACATGGGCGATATAGGTGCCTAGGTGCCGTGCAGGGAAGGCTGGCTGGCTGGCTGACCTGGCTGGCTGGCTGGTGGGCTATGTTGGGAAAGGGCGTGGGGCGGAGGGGTTGCCATTTTGATTTTATAAAAATCCATGATGCAGGGCAGCGGCACAGCGCAGCGCAACTGCAACTGCACGGGAAATATTTTTCCACCCCTGATTTGATTCTGTTTGCTGTTTGATCGCCAGTGTGCTTCTGCGTCGTCGTTCGCGCCGCACGTCGTCCACACGCGGTCAGACGCACCTGGGTCAGTTTGGTAGCTGTGGGCTCCAGGCTGGGAAAGCCACCTAATAGTCATCAGGCCAGAGGACAGAGTGGGAATTCGGCAGACAGACAGACTGACTGACAGAGAGATAGACAGACAGGCTGTGCAAGCCTGTGAGAAGGAAAGCTCTCCGCGCGGGCCGCGTGCTGCGCCGCTGCATTGCATGCATCCTTTTCGGCCCACCGCAAGGTCACTGGGTCACCACAGGTCCCGCTAGTGCGGACCGCCTTCGGCCCTTCTTTCTTCTTCCTCTCGTCTGTCATTTGCCTGTCAGTGGTGCATCGCTCAACTAATTGCCCCGCCGCGCGCAAACCGGCCCTGCCTGCACATTTACGCCTACAAAGGGGGATCCGTCAAGGAGGGGTAATCCACAGGAGGAGGAGGAGGAGGAAGAGGTTTCGGAGGAGGTTTCGGAGGAGTGGGGCCTTTAGGAGCCCGCTTTGTTGAATCTTTCTTTTGGTTGGGCGGTTAGGAATCATCTGATGTTGCGGTTGTGGAGGTGTGCGTGTGTTCGGCTGTTCTTGTCTTTGTATGTATGTATGTCTTGGCATGCGTGTGGCTGGACGGAAAAGGAGGGACCCCGTCACCTGTTCCGTACACTCGCCAAGGAGGATAGCGAGTAGCCCCCTGCGGTGTCGAGCCACAACTTTGCGGCATGTATGTATGTATGTGCACGGGCTGGGGTTTAATGGGCTACGGCCTGGCGTTGATGTGATGTGATGTGAAGTGATGGCGGCAGAGCGGATGATGGTGAAAGGGACGGAGGGTGGCGGCAACGCGGGTGAGGCCAGAAGAGCGGATCTACCCTGCAGGCATGGACTTGGGGCGGACGTGGGTTGTGTGCCCTGTGTATGTATGTATGTACGTACGTACGTATGGGCGTGGCTATTGTTGCAGTGCGCACTTCACAATGGAGAGCGGTGCAGAGAGGGAGTCCTGAACAGCGCATTTCATCCATTTCGAGACTTTGTAGAGAAAACGCGGCAGAGGGGTCGGTCGGGGCGGGGGAAAGCGCATCGGTCGCCCTACCCCGTTGCGTGTGTTTTGCAGGCGCGTGCTTTTCTTGTTTGTGTGTGTATACAGCTGAGCTATGTGTGTTTGTGGGGGGGGGAGCAGGAATTTGCGTTTGGTGCTAATATTGTAGAATATTGGGGATAAATAATAGATCGCTTAGAGCAAAGCCGCGTGGCCAGAATGTGGTGCTGCTACCCCCATCTAATGTTGCGTGCCGGTCCCCAGGGCCGTTTTCCGCAACCACGTCTTGCGACCTCCTGAATGACTTCGAGTTCGTCTGTGTGTCCGTCCTTCTCGATGCATCCGTGTTGGTATAAGCGCGTGGTAGTAGAGAGACAAAGTGAAATTGATAGAAGGGGAGGGGGGGTAAAAGAGCGGGGAGGGGTTTAAGTTAGGTGGGGTAGGGTGGAGTGGGGTCTGGGGTTTGGAACGGTGACCTTTTCTTAACCGACATCGCCCTAGTGCGCCGCACTTGGCGGCATTCTAAGCACCGGCGGCATCTTGCTGGCTTAGGGTTTATCACCTAGCGCCTGCACCGACGCTTCTCGCGGGCCATGATTGGTTTGGGCGTGAGCACCCTCTCTAATCCGGAGGCCTGCAAGCATCAGACAAAAATGACGAGTGTCCTCTTGAGGGGTACCTTTGCGCGTGCACGTATGTGTAAGGGGGTCCGGGGGAGAGCTCTCAGAGGAACACGTGAGAGCTGGCACACGCCGTGTCGGTCGGTCGGTCGGTTGGTGTGGTTCTCTCTTTCCCGGTTGGTTGGGGACGCAGTGCGACACTGGATTCCCCTTAGGGCTGGAAAGTGTACGGAAGTACGGAAAGACTTTTTCCTACACATGTAGTACAGGGTACACTTTGCACTGCGACACACAATATGATTCAAGTAAGTGTCACAAAGACAAGCCCATGGAATGGTTTGCTTTATGGTAAGGTACGGCACTGAATTTCATTTGATTTGATTTTCTAACCCAAGCGGGCTTTATCTTTGGGGGATGTGGAGTTCCTTTTTACTACAGGGTTCGCCAATAGGGCGGCGGCGGCGGGTGAGAAGAAGGAGAGAATGTCAGGCGCTGCAGGGCACGAAGGCGGGGTACCAGTTTTCTCAGCGAGGGGCAGATGCTGTGTGTACATCGCTCGGCTGGGACGTCGATCCAAATTTTGCGCAGCAGGTGCTTAGTGTGGTGTGACATGGCGTGGCATCAAGGGGTTTCGGAGCTTGTGGGACGAGTGTGGATTGAGCGCCGAAAGGAGGAGGGCCATTTTGCCACAACCCGGGCAGGACAGGAGACTACAGAGCAGGAGGAGGAGAAGGAGGAGGGCGGTGCGGAGGGAAGACCACTGCGCGATGGGGATGATGGCTCCTGACGACGGCGGCATTCGATGTTTTTCTGCAGTACATGGTGTACACGGGGGCAAAGGGCTCCATAGGGCTCTATCTGCCCCAGCCAAAGCTGTTGGGGTGGGGTCGGGTGTGAGGGCCCCATGTGACTTCTTTTGCAGTTAGCGGCCTAGCCAGGTGACACCGAGGCGAGAGGCTGCGAGCTTCAAGTGCGGGAGAGAGGGGCAGCAGGAGAGAGAGGAAAAGAGGGAGCGGCGGCGGCTCCGGGGCTGTATGCGCCTCCCTCTCCTGGCATGTGTGCATGTCTGTATGGTTGTAAGGAAGAACGGGAGAACACCGAGCTCCCTTTCGAGGCACCGTTGAGGAATGTCTGGCCCAGCTGCGAAGCGTACCAGCAGCAGCAGCACTAGCACTAGCAGACGTGTTTCATGACCTGCCTTTTGGCAGGTATAGGATGCCTCATGCCCCCAACTGACTGCGTACCAGGCCGAGGGTGCAAGGCTGAGTATTCGTATTAGGAGAGGTAAATTGTAATCAAAAGCAGGCAAAACAATGGCTGTTGTTGTATATCATGACGCTTGATGATGCTCTATTAGATTCCCTGCCCTGAGGGGGCTCTTATTTCTCATTCCCAGGGCGACACCGGAGGTTGTGAAGGGTTGCGTTTCGCTTTTACGTTGCACCTGGGGGTGTCAAGGCGCCCGAAATGGGGCCCCCCCCTTTCAATGCAACTCGGGAGCGGCGGTATTGTACAATTTGTACAGTGTAAAGGAAGGAAGGAGGGTGAGAGGAGCCTTAGCTCAGTTTCCCTTGCCGGGGGGGTCTCTTCAGAAGCTGCTGCTGGATTGGGGCTTTTTATTTGGGTTTTCCTCGCGCCACAGATTCCCGTGTCAGGCCGGTGGGTCTCTGCCCTGCGTACACGCGAACAATGGGAGAGCAGCCTTGCATGGTTGTGGCAGTTGTGGTGGTCGCTGGGGCGAGGTGTAGTGTGACATTCCCGTGCCGCGGTGCCAGTCCGGGGTGTGGGTGGAGTGGACGCAACAGTCAATGTCAAGACAGGATCCATGGAAAAGTCGTAGCGTGGGAACACGGTGCTGCATGATGTGGGGAGAGAGAGGGTCACTGAAGAGAAGAGCGGCAGCTGTTTGGGGTCTGGGGGATAGGGCCCGAGCGCCCCTGCTGTTGCAGGGATTTGATTTCCATCCGAGAGTATGCGATAAGTATTAATGGTGAACAGGTGCATATGCAGATGGCAGGTTGAAGTGTATACGAGGATTGGCAGGTAATATTGTAAAATGTGTGGGCTCGAAAAGGCGACATCGTAGCTCGAATCCAAAAAAACGCTGCGGTATTTCTCGTATCTCCAGGTTAGGCGTTCCGATGTAAACATGTTTAGTCCACATGGTGAAAGCCAGCTTCTTGACACAGGGGGTCATGTGCTGCCTTCATGGAGGAAGAGGAGGATGCTATGCAGCATTTCAAGAGCTGTATCCCTCCCCTCTTACGTCCCTCCCTCCCTCTCTCCATTCCTCCATACATTCCCCCCTCCTGGCAAGCTAGCTTTGCTATACCAATGGAGGTACTTTTTTCCAGCATTCTTGATCTTAACTGCGTGTTGGCCTCCGTTGGTTGCTAGGCAGGCAGGGCATCCAAAGGTCCCGAGCTCTCAGCACTGGGTGTTGCGGTTGGCGGTTACGAACTACAGCTTGGCGTAAGCGCTCAAGTCTGTATCAAATGTTCCAAATCGTACGAATTGTTCTCAAACAGCATTTTGTGCAAAATTCGCAGCTCTGGGCTTGTCATGTCCCCGATGGTGTACGTCAGGCCAGCCGTAACGCATCGGAACAAACAGTTTTGCTCCCAATAAGATAACGCAATTAACTTATGTTGCCATCAAGACAAAATTATTCAGCAATATAAAGTTGTGAGTATCGCAAAAAAATCATATTTTCCTCTGCGGTCTTTGGGCTCGGCTTCGCACTTTCCGGACCCCTTAGTGCGATTCCTCATTTCTCGCTGATGCTTAAAACTCTCAAAAACATACCTCAACTGGGCTCAGCGCTCACGTGCCAGCGCACTTACCAGCAGCGCCATTTTCTCAGCCTCGCGTCCTCGCGACTCTTTCCCCCGCCTTACACACCAAACTACGCCCGCCCGCGCTCACCCCAAACATTCACCCAACCCATGGCAACCAGCAGCCCTGGAAGCGCCCCTACCCTACCCTACTCCTCTGCAACCCCACGCGCGCTGGTGTACGACAAGCCCGGGGAGCCCTTGGACGTACTGGAGCTCCGAAATTTACCAGCCTTGCGCGAGTGTGGTCCAGGGGAGGTGCACCTGCGTTTTTTGCAGGTGTGAAACTGGCTCTTGGAGGTGTTGGCCTTCTTTTCGAAGGGGGTTGCCGGGATGCGGTGGTATTAGGTATATTGGGCAGTCCCTTCATCTTGGCACGTCGGCCAAAGTTTTTTTGAGAAGACAGATAATTCCCTCCCTTCCCCCCGCTTCCTCCCCCCTTCCTTACCCCCTCTCCATTCCAGTCGCCCATAAACCCCTCCGACGTCAACACGGTTCAGGGCAAGTACCCCATCCAGCCGGCCCTCCCCGGAGCAGTGCCCGGGCATGAAGGCGTGGCGGAGGTGCTGGCTGTGGGGCCTGAGGTACGGCACTGTACGGTAACGGCTCGGTACGGTCTGCGTTCCCACAAATCTATTCCGCCTTCCTCCTCCTAGGTTTCGGAGCTCTCCCCCGGCGACTGGGTGGTCCCGCTAGCTCCCGCCCAGGGCACCTGGCGCAGCGGCGGCATCTTCCCTCGCGCCCACTGGCACCGAGTGCCTCAGGACATCGGGCTGGAGTCCGCATCTACTCTGGTTATCAAGTGAGAGTTGGGGGAGGGGGTCATCATATGAGGGAGAAAGTGGGAAGTGAACTGCCGGTGTGACGGGGGGGAGAGAGAGGGGGGGGAGGGGATAAGGAAAGGGGGAAAGGAGGGGACGGGAAAAGGAGACACTGCCGGGAGGACGCGGGGGGTACGGGGGACCCGGGGCAGGGATGGATATCATCGTCCTGAAAATTCTGATGCCGCGTCTATTCAATTGCCGTACTCCTCGATAATCGCCATGGGGTCACGGAGTTACACGGCAGCTGTGCTCCGGCCCGGTCCGCCCCACCGCCGCCCAGTACTGGCCGCCGGTTGCAGCTTGGAAGCTGTAGAGCAGTTTGCGGCGGCTTTGGACGTCCCCGGCAGTCTTTCTCTGGGACTTAGGGAAGGGCTGCACACACCCCATCAGGGTGTTTCCCCCTCGCCTCCCCTTTTCCCACCCCCGTATATGTTCTCACCCTCCCTGCCTCCCCTCCCCTCCTCTCCCCTCTCCACACCCTTTCCAAGCCCCCCAACCGCTTTGGCGATGTTGGAGAATTTCGTGGATATGAAGCCCGGCGACACGGTGGCTCAGAACGGGGCTACAAGTGCAGTGGGGGAGGTGAGAGGAGAGGTTCCCGCGGGGGGGGGGTAAGAGAAAGCCCAGCGGAAGCTCTGGCGCGGAGGAACTCCCGCTCCCGGCTGGACTGCGTGTGATGGCCTCAGGGTCTGGCGAGACCCTTCCCGGGGGCCCCGGGCACCTTGCCGTAGACAGGGTTTGCGTGTTTCGGACTTCCTGCCTTAAATCCGCAACTCCCCCCCCCCACACACACACACACACGCCGCGGGCAGTCGCCCCGTGCCAACATGGGCCTTCTTCTCTCTCCCCCACACAAACATCCCTTTCCTCGCACAGGCCGTTATTCAAATCGCGCGAGCAAAGGGCCTCCGTACTATCAACATCATACGGCAGAGGTACGACAATTACTTGGGGCTTATGGCTTGTGTTGGATAGGATTAAATAGGATGTGTGACCGGGGGCCATCTGTGTTTGGGCGGGTGTATGGGGGTGAATATGAGTATGGGGGGGTCCGTGGGGTTTTCAAATCCGCTCAGGGGAAAGAAGAAGGAAAAGTAGTGGGGTTGGTGCCGCGCTTCACAGCTCAAGTACGGCAACAGCGAAGACTGTACGGAAGGTCCAGAAGGTTAAGCGGGGGTCCTTGGCGCGAAGAGTCATCAATGCTGCGCTCGCCCCCTCTGGGCACTCGCCTCGTTTATTCACATCCAAGACATGCCCAAACACACAGATACATACATACATACATACATTCGTACCAGGAGGACATCCAAATGTGTGCATACGCATGTTTGCCCGTGTGCGTGTGTGTGTGCATGTTTCCCGCCCCCCATCCCCCCGGGGCCACATAAGGCCCGACATGGAGGCCACGGTGGCTCGGCTCCGAGACCTAGGGGCGGATCTGATCACCACGGAGGAGCGACTGAAGGATGATCTGAGTGAGTCGAAACGTTACGCAAGGCATGTCGTACACATTGAGCCTCTTCCCCATCGGACACTCCGTACAGCCGTACAACCCCGCCGTGGAGTGCGCACCCTGTACCTCAGTCGTTCACATAGCCTGTACAAGGCGGAAACGACCTGTCTGTCTGTCTGTCCATGCTTCTCCAGGCTTGGCGCATCCAATGTCACCTGGAAAGCCGCCATGATTGCCCACCCACCCAGCTCGCCCTAGCTGCCTGTCTCTGTCTCTCTGGCTTCAGCCTGTGATGATTTTCCTCCTCCACCCCAAAGCCATCCTAGACTTTCAACCTGTAACCTGCCTCCACCTCCATCTCCACCTACTCCGCAATCCCCGCCCTCCAACCCCCCGTC